TTTCATCCTAATGGTTGAGGATTCTAACATGACGATAATGCAGCATTCAACACCACCCTCACATTTTCTGGAGTTTATTCAAAGAATATGCATAACAGTATTGTATTATATTGTTTGTAATTAAGCACAAAGCTACGCAATGGGCTATCTGTGCTCTGCCCACCACGGGTATCGAAACCCGGATTCTAGCGTTGTAAGTCCGTAGACATATGCAGAATAACAGTAATTTCAAGCATCACATTGACCAGCACAATCTCGGTTCAATAGATCGTTTTGGAGATAGCTTAAACATTGCTTTCACCATCGTAATTTCCGATTGAAAGAAATATCTACACAATCTCATTCGTTACAGATCTATAAGAGTTCCTTTCAGAGAACTAAATCCGAAGAAGTAGGGGGTAACATGTTACTGAAATGTTTCTAAATGGTATATTTATGATTCAAATTCGATGACGAGGAACCCACTTTGAGACTAATAATGGCTGGAGACGGCTTATTTATGATGTTATTATTGTTTAGCTTAAGCTGTATAAATGTGGGGTTTAAATAAGACGTATGCTTTCCTACATTGTTCTTATGATACGTGCGAATTAGAAATATCCTTCATTAAATAATCTGATATCTGGTAGTATGTTAATTTCTTTATAATTTTGTTATATTTCAATCAACTCTAGTTTCCATTTCGCACAGAAGTTGCAACATTTAGAAATCTAAACTGGAACTTGATCTGCATTTATAGATTCACTTAACGTTCTTATACTTTAAAAATTGTAAATGCAGCACTTGCATCATTGAAGTGTATCCATGCTTTATTTGCTGTGATGAAACATAACATCACTTTTTACTCTAATATCTGCATGAATAAGAAAGAAGTTTTCATTCTTTGGAAACTGTTTATTGGAAAGTAAATATTAACTTATTTATTCTTTAAATGATACTTTCAATGAAAGATGAGCAACTTTATTTAATTTCTCGATGTGTTTTCTTCAACGACGTAATTTATATATATCTTTTTAATCATGACTCGTACTCCATACGTTTTTAATATATATAATAAAACTTATTTTTCTGACGCATACAGCTCGTCTTTCATTTTGCTATACAAGCTTAGCAAACCATTTTCATCAATGTATGCTTGCTAACTTTAAGTGTTGTGATTTTAACGCTTTAAATCAGGAGTATGCTTGGCCTAGAGCAAACTATAACTACTTTTCAAGTTTATTCTAGTATAAGTAAATTTCCTATCACTCTAAAAGTTAGCCATGGGGAAAATATTAAATATTTTTTGCAGTGATAAACATCAGTCATTTTATAGCATACTTATTAAATATTCCTACCGTTTTACAAACCAGTAGAATATTCTTTAATAATCCTTGTTTTTTCTTTTGCCATGTGCATTTTACTTTCCTTCTTACTTTATCTTTTCTTATTAACCTTTTATTATCCTTATTTCTTCTGTTTTTTGTATGCTACTTAGTTCTTATTCATTCTTCTGGTTCTGAACAACATTCAATTATCATTCCTTGAGGTATGTATGCTTTTCTATTCTTGTTTCTTCCTCTGATTCTGTACGTTGTTTACTTTTCCTTCTCTTTTTCTAGTCCTCATCCCGTTTTATGTTTCTACATAATTCTGATCCTCTTTACCTTTCTTGGTTACGCATTAACTCTGATTCATTTTTTGTTTTGTTTTCAAGAATTTTAATTGTCATTCCTTTACTTTACCTCATCCTACAAGCTTTCAACACTCCTTTTTTCTTCTGTTATTTTTCATTTTTGTGTTCCTTCTTATATTCTTTATGCTCTCTGATACTCTTTCATTCTTTTAGTTGATTATAATTTTCCTCAGTTCTTCCAATTTTGTATTCCTTTTTTGTTTGTTTTTAACCATTTGTGTATTATTTTTATTCTCCTTTATTTTTTTCGGTTTCATATGCCTTTTTATATTAATTCATCTGGTGCTCACGTTATTATACGTTTTCTTTATCACTTTTGTTCCTACATCTTTCTTTTAATTCTGTATGAACTTTGTTTGTTAGTTTTTTCTTTTGATTTTTCTTTCGCCTTCTCTATCTTTATAGCTTTCCCCATTCATTCTTCTGATTCTTTTGAAATTTTGATATTATATTCTTATTTTTGTATAATTTACGTTCTATTGAATGTTATTAATCTTAAATATTATAATGAATTGTTTCATTAGTAGGTCACCGTCACTGTCAGCGACATTTTTAGCCGTAATCTTAATAATATTTCTTGAAGATAGCTTTTATATGCGGAAACATCTGTTAGCTGAGTTCTTGCACAGATATTAAAATATAACGTTGATAAACGGAAACGTCGGCACATGTAGATATGTAGATCTTGAAAGTCG